TTCGGTAGCACTTACAATGCTAGAGCGAACGTCTAAGAGAGAGAGAGGGCGCACGAGAGTTCAATTTTTCAGTTAAGACTCAGCTGTTGCTTGTGATAGTAACGCCAAATAGTTTTCTACTGTGTTTTGCCGTTTTCCAATCGAAAATTTTCCTGGTATTTTGGATACGTGCGCGAGTGATCGCAAAAAGATTATAAAAAAGCAGCAGCAAACCACAGCACAGTGAGCAGCAGCATTAATTGCAGCAGTCACCGATCTTTGTAACCGAGGCAGCGCAGCTGGTTCCACAGGAGCACCAATAATAATTTGCTTCAACAATTACGGTTGATCACCGTAATTGTACCGCATGGTGGATGCACCTCCCTTTTTCTACACGACAAAATACTTATGAGAGTATTTTGTTTATTGCGACCGTTTGTGTGTTCGCGCCGAGCGTTAGTTTTCGCGGTTGAATTTAGAATTCTCTCTCTCTCTCTCCCTATATTATTGTAACAAATTGTTAATTCTATTCGCGTGTGCAAGTCTTTTGGCCCATCGAAGACTGTAGTTTATTAGTCATAAACGATATTAATTTTATTCGCCACATTACGTTATTTCGTTCTCTTTTAGCTTAACGGCTGGTTAAATTTTAAACCGATTTCATCTAAGGAATAGTTGAACATTAGGTCAGTCACACCAAAGATAGATCGAGTATCACAAGTCATGTGACTCAAGGTGAGTTCAATTCGGTTGGAAAAGGAGACATCGGAATGAAAGTATCAAACGTAAAGGCGAATACACGTATACTTATATGTGTTTAACGGAGCAGCGGTTAGCTCTGCATCGTGGGAGTTTGTTCTTTAATAAACCCTATTTGTACCAGCTGATCCAGCCCGTTACAATATTTAAAATTTACATAATAATATTTACATCATTTAAATATTTTAATTACTGGAATTGCATCGAACGAAATGCAGCCGAAGAATAACACTTTATATTAGATTTATATTATATTATTTCACTTTGTTTGTAAATATTATTAGTATCAATCAGCGTGTTGGATACATACTCTCTATTAAATAAGGAGTCATTTTCAAGTTAATATCTGAAGTAACTTTATAAAGCCTACTTATTGATTTATGAGATAAAAAATGTTCCGACTAAACAATTGTTCCATTTCATATTTTTACTGACAAAGAATTTTTCTAAGACCAAAAAAAAAGAGAAAATTCATTTTTTTGCAAAATTCATGATATTTATTATATAATAATATTGAATGAGTGAAAAAAACTTTGATATAGTTTTTCATCTTTTTGGCGTGTCAGCTGTGAAAAAAAAAATTTCGAAAAAATAAAAAAAAATAGTACAGTTTTCCACTTACAAAAACAAACATTTTTTCTCCTATATTTTTTTTTGAATTTTTAGAATTTGCGAAGATAAAAAATGTTTAAAAAAACTGTCACTTCCCGGAAAAAATGCCCGTCCGTGCGTCGGTTTTGAAGAAAATAACTTTTTGACCAGTGATTCAGATGGAGCTTGATAAAAGCTAAAACATGCATTCACTCAGATTTTTTAAAGATTTTTTTTCCAGATTTGGCAGATTTTCAAAGTTAGCAAAAAATTTTCCGATTTTTCAATGTTGAATTATTGCTTGCAAAGAATTAAAAAACAAGCGAAGGCATCCATAAAGTATACCATTTGAAAGCTCTTAGAAAGATTTCGCAAACGCACTCCCGGGTGACCCTGTATGTTAATTTTTACCAGAGACATTGAACTTTAAAATTTGACTAATTTTGGCGGCAGCGGGCCCAAATTAAATGACCGGCAGTGTAAGTCGCGGTCAGTCAGGTAATTTGTCAATTCTTTCTAGCAAATCCTCTTCCTGCGCGGTATCCCTTCCCACATATAGAAAATTAATTTTTTTAAATGACATTTTTTTAACATTGAGAAATCTATATAATGAACTAATGTAAAAAAATTTCATCTCGTTTTTGAACTATAAAAATCGTACTATGCTAGGTAAAAAATGAGGCGACTGTATTTGTATTAGGGATTTATAATTTAAATGGCATTGAGCCTTATTCAAAATCAACTGTTTTTAAGTAATAAAGCACAATTATTGTATAATAATAATTATTACAAAATAATAATAAAATATAATTTATAATTTTATCATCATTATACTAAATTAACAACAACTACCTGTCTCATTGTATTGGATCTCAAAGAGCAACGAAGTTGATATAATTATATTGCATTACCATTAACAGCTTATAACTTTTAAACTAATTTTTAGAAATAGATATTTTAATGTGAACAATTGTAGAACACAAATTCCGATTTCGATTTTGTATCATGTTTCCCTGTTCTAGTTTGTGAGAAGAAGTTATACGAGTATAGACGTTAAGAACCGCTCAAGTGCATTAAAATCATTGAAAATGACAACATACGACTATTCGCTTTGCCGATGAGGTAAGCAAATAGTCACCCCCCTCTCCCTTTTCTGTAAGCTCGGTTCCCAGTATTTACAAATTTTTTGCCGACAAGATTTTCCGACTCGAGCCGTATACCTGCACACTATCAGATTTTTTTTCGCGAAAACCTTATACATGGGTCTACGCTTCTATAAGCATCTATATTCGTTGGCGCTATTTAACATTAGATTGGATATATATATATATTTTTTTTTTCTAACAGGATGTGTATTTAATGTGTGTGCTACGCTGGACACGGGTTGCGGGTTCGCGTGTGGATATGCGCAACTGAACGCGAGCTGCGCGAAGATTGCCGCTGCGCCACACAATGGCGTAGACTTTTGCGGTGCTCGACGAACTTTTAGAAGATTGCCCGAGCGGGCCAATCTCGAGAACTTTCTCTGCGGCAATCTTCCCACTGCTACCTTATATCTAGCGTAGCCACGCTCGTCTCCGGGCGAAGTCCCCGTTGTTTGCCACTGTTACTTTGTTCGGTAGGCTCAGCCTCGCTCGGAGGTATTGATGATGTGACGTATGTAATTCCGGCTAGCTAGAAACGGACGCTAAAGCACGAGGTTGTTTTGTCAACACGAACGCACCGATGAGGGAAAGGGATTCTAATAATGGTTCAGTCAATGATTTTTATTGCTTACATAATTTACTTGTCTCTAAAGTGATCTTTATTATTCATTGTTCACGTATAAATTTTACGCCTGCGCTACTACCGCGATTTATTACACATGGAATATACGGACGCCGCCATCTTATCTAACACCGCATATGAGTCATTCTTACTTGCTCTCGCTACGCAATACTTACGATCGCCCGTTACCGGATTATGATCTCACGTGAGATCGCCGACGATTCCATCTATACACGCGAAACTAATAACGCAAAGCTGGCCAGCTTACTTTATTACTATCGCTCTTGTCTACACCGACGCTTAGTTTAGCCTTGCTCGTATGTCGATCTCGCTGGGGAAGTTGCCGATGTCGACTCGGGCGGCCACCGTATCCTTAGTGTGCGTCTTTTAGTGTACCCTATTCTTTTCTCAGCTATAGCCCCTTTCCACACAGCTGCACACTTTTATATGGAACGAAATGTTCGCACTCTGTAAAGGCCACAATCGTCCGCCGCGAGTAGTTCTCCTAGACTCCTGCTCTTTTCGCTATCCCTTTCTCACTCTTCCCGCGTAGAGCGTGCACTCAACTCGTGTCTGGTAGGTGCTGCCTCTCGCGGACAGTTGTCCTGACGAGGTGAGAGCGTAAATATAACGTTTACCGTTACAATATATATATATATATATATATATATCTATTAATGACTTAAACATATTTACTTGAAAAAAAAAAAATTTGCTGTAAAAACATTACTACTGTATTCTCCATCCAAAAACGTACCTACTTTCTTTTTGATAAACTGCATGATATTGAAAATATAGAAGATTTTCAATAAATGAAAATTTTTTACAAAAACAGTAGTAATATAATAAAAAATAAGTTAAGAATAAAGTTCGAAGTCTCACATTATTGCTTTAGTTATTGCCTTTCTATTGACGTCGAGATTTTTGAAGTATGATTATTTCTAACTGCATTGCAAACAGTCAACGTGGCTCTAAAAATTTGTTTAAATATCATAATTTCACACATACGCAGAACAGCCCTACGTATCGTAATTGTTAGGCATCACAAGAACTTTTCAATGAGTGGATAAATTTTTGTTTAGCTAAAACTCCAAATAAAAACTTAAAATTTACAGTTATTGTTTTGATGGGCTTAAACTTTTTAAACGTAGTGTTAGCCGCTTAGTTTAGTTTTAGTTTCCTGTACCCTGCACCGTACAATCGGTTTTCAGGGCACCTCACCCACCACTTCCATATTGTCTGCCGTGAGGTGTTCCCGAGAAGCATCGGACTACCGCGGTTTCCAAAGATAGTCATTTATTCGCTTCTACGGTGGGTGCTCAGCATGAGCTCTCTGGTGTTTTTTGTAATTTTTTGGTGCACTTTCGTGCGATATTGTTACCAGAGGAACTCACGCCTTGCGTTGCGACGAAAACTATAGTAAAGCGAGGTTATCAGCCTGCCTCGCTTTACTGGACCTACAGTTTAATGCTCCGTAATTTACATTACTTAAGCCAGTAGAATCCGAACCACTGCGAGAACCGCGGTGTTGTTGCTTTTGGCACATACACAAATTTTTCTTTCGAAAAAGTCAAAGATGCCCGCACCGGGAATCGAACCCAGGCCGCCCGCGTTAGAGTCCTGCGTTCTATCCACTGAGCCACCGCGGCTCTCTTAAGCCGTAGTATATATTATGCAAGATTGTCTATACATCGGATATAATCACTTTTATTCATTATACCTGAATTTGATGATCGTCTAACAATGAAAAAAATACCTGCAGTTGCACTACTTAATAACTTTCAGTAATAAATACTTTCTACAATATGTATTTAGATTTTACAAAAAATTTGACTTTTAATGTTTATCATTTGATTTCAAATACATAATTATTAGTATATTATACTTTGCTCTTTCTCTTACAGATGACTTCTTACCATTTAGTTGTCAAAGAGATGATTGCCCCAATTCTGGTAACGCTGAGGCTACAAAAGTTTGTTTTAGTCATTCAATTTCTATTCTATATGCAGCAGATCTTCCGCCTCCTTTGTATTTGTGTATTGAATGTGCTAACGAAATACATAAAGACAATCCCAATCAAGCTTTCAATGACATTCTTCATCCTATGCAGCAAATTTCTTTGGTTTGCGAAAATAAGGTAACATTACTATATTAGTGGTTATTTTCAAAAAATATTTATTTATAATAGGATAGCTTGGTATTTTAGAAAATAAAATGTTGAACTTTTACTATTTAAAAAAAAGTATATGTGTAAAAATAAACATTGTATTTATGATGCTTTAAGACTTAATTTGAGATAGTGATCAAGTAATCAGAGAGGTTCGTAACCTTCGATTATTATTTATGGAGACTTCATATTACTACCATATAGCAGAAATGAAAAATTACTTTTCTATAATATATTAGTGACGGAAAAAGTCTCCGAGCTATTCTCGTCATTACTATCACCAACGGAAAATTCTGGCATATAGACTTGAATGTCTGGGATTTTATACAGTCGAGATTTTTTACTTCTTTTGTAGGTGCCATATACGAGGTATGATCAAAAAGTAAGGTGAATTTTTATTTTTCTCAAAAAATATTTATTTATTCATCAATTTTTATTTTATCTCCTTCAAAATAATCCCCCTCGGATATAATGCACTTGTGCCAACGCTTTTTCCAATCCTCAAAGCATTTCAAAAAATCATTTTTTGTGATCTTGTTTAGTTCATCCTTCGATGCCGTCTTTATCTCCTCAATCGTGGCAAAACGCCGTCCTTTCATGGGCCTCTTCAGTTTTGCAAACAAGAAGAAGTCACAGGGGGCCAGATCTGGGGAATACGGTGCCTGTGGCATCGTTACTGTGTTGGTTTTAGCCAAAAATTCGCGCACAAGCAACGATATGTGAGCAGGGGCGTTATCATGGTGCAAAAGCCAATTTTTATTTTTCCACGAATTCGGACGTTTCTGGCGGATTGCTTCGCGCAAATTGCGCATAACTTGCAGGTAATATTCCTTATTTACTGTTCTACCCTGTGGCAAGAACTCATGATGCACCACGCACCTGCAGTCAAAGAAAACTGTAAGCAAAACCTTTACATTTGATCGAACTTGGCGTGCTTTTTTTGGTCTTGGTGATCCAGAATGCCTCCACTGGGACGATTGAGTCTTAGTCTCGACGTCATAACCGTATACCCATGTTTCGTCACCTGTTTTAACTCTGTTGAGTAAATCAGGATCATCGTTGACGTCATTCAGTAGCTCTTGGGCGATGCTCATGCGACGTTTCTTTTGGTTGAAATTGAGCAATTTCGGAACAAACTTCGCTGACACACGTCTCCTGTCTAAAACACTCTTCAAAATTGATTGGCACGAACCAAATGAGATGCCAATATCATCAGCAATTTCTCTAATGGTAATTCGACGATTTCCCAACACTATTTTCTTCACTTCTTCAACATTCTCATCAGTTGTTGATGTCCTGGGGCGTCCAAAACGAGGTTCGTCGTCGGTGTCTTCTCGGCCTTCGTGGAAGAGTTTATACCACTTGTAAACATTTTTTTGGCTTAAAGTAGACTCACCGTCTGCCACTTTCTGCATTTCAAGTGTTTTGGAACATTTGATTCCATTTTTCACACAAAATTTAATGCAAACTCTTTGATCCATGTTTTTAGACAGCAGCAAATCGTGGAGCACGCAAAACACTTCTAACCTTGATGCCTCTCACAAACAAACCAAACATACTACAAAGCTGAAATTTGGAACGTATGTTCTAGACGAGTGTACCGACATAACCAAATAAAAAAGTTGAAGATCGAACGGACGTAGCCCGCTAAATTTCAAAATTCACCTTACTTTTTGATCACACCTCGTATAGTTTCAGTTTCCTCACGCTTCAGCTCACATGAGGACAACAATGATCACCCTTGCCATTCGACACTGCCGTTGATGGATAAAATTCTGTGATCGAAACAGGAATGGCCGGGTTTGTAAGACCATAACTTCAGTAACCATGTGGATATAGCATCATCCGATCAGAATAGCATGGTCACTATAGCACCATATTGGTTCCATAGAACAAATATCGCTGTAAATGGCGCATCTCCACTCTCAAGTTTGCGGTGATGAGCAAAATCAATATTCCATAAAAGGTATCCATAACACTCTCTGATCTTACTCGCGTGGTACTTACAATATCGTATCTCGATAGGAAGGATAACTCTTAATATTGGCCTCAATATCTAATCTTGGCCAAATCTAATTCGGAATGAGAACGAACTCATTAAAAATCAAAAATAATATGTTATATCATAGAAGTTTTGAATCAGTGATGGATCCAATGACTGCTGACGAAGCAACTTCAAAATTAGTCTTTCCGGACGAGTATAAAAATCAGAGTATAAAAAGCTCATTGCTTGATATTAGTAAAACATCTCGGAGTAGAAAAGATACATAGGCGAATCGCTCACAAGTACTAATGGTAGGGTATATACTCCTGCACACATAACTTTATCATGAGATGCTCTTCATGCTAAAAATTAGTTGTCACTCGCAAGATTGAAATTCGTGCCAAAACTGTTCAATTTCGACTAAAAACAGCATCGCGTTAACATTGCTCAGGACATGTTGGACTCGGTCCGGAACGACCTAAATGTGTTCCAGAAAATCATAACTGGTGATGAATCATGGGTTTATGGTTATGATGTGGAAATCAAAGCTCAATTATCCCAATCGAAGCTGCCGCATGAGCCAAGACCGAAAAAGCGCGCCGAGTTCGCTCGAACGTGAAGGTTTTGCTCACAGTTTTCTTTGATTACAGAGGCATGATGTATCATGACATCTTGCCACAGGATAGTACGATCAATAAGGAATATTACCTGCAAGTTATGCGCAACTTGCATGAAGTAATCCACCAGAAACGTCCAGATTTGTGGAAGAACAAAAACTGGCTTTTACACCATGATAACGTCCCTGCTCACACATCGTTGCTTGTGCGCGAATATTTGGCCAAAAACAACACATTAATGGTGCCACAGTCACCGTATTCTCCAGATCTGGCCCCCTTGTGACTTTTTCTTGTTCCCAAAACTGAAAAGGCCCAGAAAAGGACGACGCTACGCTACGATTGAGTAGATAAAGATGGCATCGAAGGAGAACAAGATAATAAAAAATGATTTTTTTAAGTGCTTCGAGGATTGGAAAAAGCGTTGGTACAAGTACATTATATCCGAGGGGGATTACTTTGAAGGAGATAAAATAGATATTCATAAATAAATAAATAATTTTTGAAAACATACAAAATTCGCGATACTTTTTGAACAGACCTCGTAATATTATCGTATCATATTATCAGCAAGCAAATCCAGTGGAACACAACAATAGGACACTAAAAACTATGATTATACCTTTGTGGAAAATGATCATCCTAATTGAGACAAACAAAAATCTATGCAAGTCTCTTCTACATTTTTAAACTATGACAGATAGTGTTAACCAGTAAAAAGATTATAACAAAAAGAACAACTGATCTTATACAGACTCTTGAGCCTAAAACATGGCCAGAAAGATTAAAGAAATTAGTTGACATACAGAAACTACTGCACAGGCATCTAAAAATATCCAAGATAAGATTAAGGAAAAGTACAATGAAAGCAGGCGTAATATAAATTATGAAATTAAGTGACCTAATCTTCTGCAAAACACATCATTTAACAAATGCAACAAATTATTTTTCAACCAAGCTAGGTAAAAGATTTGAATGTCCATTCCGCATCACCTAGAATCTATCTCGTGCAGTTTGTTATAGAAACATTAACAACGAAACGTATTGGGAAAGTTTACGTGAAACAACTAAAAGTGTTCAAAGAACCAAATAATATTAATTATGGTATTGATTCGCAGACAATTTTTAAACACTTCCTAGATACTAGAAAATAAAAGAACAAAATGATTAAATTCTGACGTTTACTAGTTACTGATATGGGGGTAAATAGAAAGGGTAAATAGGTAATCAACAATTAATCAGGATAATTTTAATAAAAATACCATTAACATTCATCCTGATTGTCCTTATTCATAGTTCTTTTAGTGATTGTGATGCCCCACAATTTACTAATTTACGTAATAACATAGTTGGGATGTTCTAAGAAAATTGGTACATATGTGAACTTAATATATCGACCTTATGTTATCCTGTAAGCTGTAATCAAGCCTCTTTCTGCATACTAGGAGGTGTAACTATTGACTGTATAACTATATACACCTCATCACAACAAATCTATGAAAGTGCATGCATCGTATTGTCTTGACCTTTACCCATTAATACCCAAGCCGAATCTAGTCGAGATAGCCTTGAAATAACTATTGGGTTCATGTTATAGCTCAAAAATAATTTACACGTGTTTTTTCTTTTTGCATTTCCAATTGTTTATAAAAAGTTATTTAAACAAATTGACAAAAGTTTTAGTTTTTTGAAAAACTATTTATGGCAATCGATTCTACGGGAAAAACCAAGGTGAAAGCCTCTGTAAGATTTTCTTGTCAGACTCGATTTTGTTGGTGTATATTCGTTATAAATAATTTGAAACTGAGAAGTGATGCTGACAAAAACCTCTCTAACATTATTTTTTTCGACCCAACTGTTTTTGTTAATCATTATGGGTAAAAGAACTACTTTCTTCAAAACAGATCCTTAAAAACAATTACGAATGATTTTCTCTGTGAGTTTTGCAAAAATCAATATCACATTTTGAACAACAATATTCAGTCAATACTGAACAATTTTCGTTGTCACACTTTCTACGTTTCCCAACCTTTATCTGATGTTCCTTTAACTTTTTTTTTTAACTTTTTTCTGTCGTTTGGGTCGATGAGTATTTTCGAGTTTTTGAATATAATATTTACAAACTTCTTCCACAATATTTTTTGAACCTTTCTTCTCATCTAGATGGAGTTTATTGTAAATAACAGTAGCATTAGCTAATGATGCTTGAATAAGTCTCATAAAGAGACACCACGTCTATTTTTTGCTTCGGATTGTAGGCATAAGTGCATTACAATGCTGGTCATGTAAATTTACTCCATCCATGTGCCTATTATACATTGAGAAAGCTTGAGGAAAGAGAATTTTTTGTTTAGTTTTATTATGCCATCTTT